AAATTGTGTTAAGGTGGATAAAAAGAAGGAAAAATAAAAATAAAAAGAAATCGCTGACTCACTGTCTAATTAAAGTCAGTCATATTTGAAAACGTGTTAATTACATATATTACAAGCAGTACGGGGAAATACCTATTTCAATATCAACAACGCGAAGCCAACATTCACACGATAATGAAACTTGGAAGGAAATATCAACACTACAATGTTTGATTTCCGATGACTGGAAGAAGAAGAGAGTGAAAAGAGTTAATTACGCAGTGCTATATATATATAAACATATATAGAGAAAATTTTACAATCGTTTTAGCGAGATTTTACTACTGTAAAAAGTGGTGGAAAAAGAAAAGGAATAAAGCATATATACAGAGCATTTTTTTTTATTTTTATTTTTTTTTTTTTGAAACGTCAAACATGATAAACGAATATTATGGTGAAAAGGACATTGTTGATATGGACACAATGGAGAGAGTACCATATAGAAGTGAATCTTCAAATACAAGCACAAGCGGATATTCAACAGGTCCATGGAATTCTCCTGCTTCGGGTTATTCACCAGCACAATCGCCTGCATCCGCTTTACCAGTCGAATTTTCCACACTTAATGTAATGTCGTCTCAGTCAATGTCCCAATATGAACAACAGCAGCCGATGGCTGCTACTCAGCCATACAATACACAATCACAATTTGCGCAAATGTCGCATGCGGGAAATCGTGGCGGCGACTTTAATGAAAAAATGAAATATGAAGCCCGATTGGAAATTACTGAAGAGCCAATGGAAAAATTCCGATTTCGATATATATCCGAAATGCATGGAACGCATGGCTCGTTGAATGGAGCTAACTCGCAAAGGAATCCAAAGACATTTCCGGAAGTGCGTTTAGTTGATTATAAAGATCCAGCAATAATTCGTTGCAGTTTGTTCCAAGCAAATTTAGAGAGTCCACATTCGCATCAGCTTGTCATACGCAAAGACGACGACGACGTCTGTGATCCGCACGATGTAAAAGTTGGTGAACTTGGTTATTATGCGAAATTTGCTAACATGGGAATCATTCATACCGCTAAGAAATTCATTATGGGTGAATTGTTAAAAAAGAAACGACGACGTTTAATATTTGAGTTAGGCGGTCGCGAATTAACTACAAAGGAGGAACAAAAAATTCATGAACAAACTGAAAAGGAGGCTAAAGATATGAATTTAAATCAGGTAAGCAAGAAAGCGGAGAATAATCGAGAATGATTACTTTTAATAAATACATTCATGGACATTAGGTGCGACTTTGCTATGAAGCATTCCGGGTGGAAGAGAATGGTACGTACGTGCCAATTGCTGCCCCCGTTTATTCGCGTCTTATCAACAATCGTAAATCGGCTCAGACCGGAGAATTGCGTATTACACGTTTAAGTATCTGCACAGGCAGCGTACTTGGTAATGAGGATCTTATATTATTGGTAGAGAAGGTTAGCAAAAAAAATATAAAAGTTCGTTTTTATGAAATGAACGATGAGGACGGTGAAATTTGGGAGGCGTTCGCTCAATTTCGCGAATCCGATGTGCATCATCAATACGCGATTGTTTGCAAAACGCCGCCTTACAAAGATCGCGATATCGATCGTTTGGTAGAAGTTTTCATTGAACTTGTGCGACCATCGGACGATGAACGCAGTTTTCCTCCGGTAACGTTTCGTTACAAGCCGCGTAACGCTTTAATATCAAGGAAACGTAAACGCACTTGTTCAACAACTTCGAGCCGAAGTAATAGCAATATTAGTTCAGGTGATTTACCCAAGACCGTACATGAGCAATCTAAAATTTTGACATCAGCTGAGATGATGGAAGAGCTTGAACGTCTTTTGCAAGACAACGATTTAAAGAAGAAACTTTCAAGTTATTCGGATGATATGAATTTAAATGATTTAATTCAGACCCTTGATGGCGGTGGCCGCTTGGAAAAGGATGGCGTTGGCGGTGGCGATGGCGAACGATCAAAAATTATGCATTACAAAAAAAAATTGATAGAAAAGAAGACAATGGACAACTATTCACACGCGCCTGACATTAATCAACCAACAACAGGCACTTTGTCACCCTATTTGCAACGTATATCAAAAATATATGTCGATGTACGTAATGAGAAACCTATTGCCAAAGAGACCGTTAAGCATTCCGCAGCCGAGCAAATAACAAAAATTTTCAATGAACATTTGGATAATAGCGATAACGGTGATTCCATAATGCATGAAGTTGTCCTCGCCGATAATAACAAATCGGCCATGCAATTATGCCATATTTTAACGTATTTCAATATCCAAAACTTATTGAACACTTTATTAAATAGCAATGGACAAACAGCATTACATTATGCTTGTCTATATAATCGGGCTCAGTATATACGACCTTTGTTACTTTTAGGTTGCCGGGCAAATTTACAAGATAATCAAGGCAATACATCGATACATATAGCTGTGCGTGAAAAATACTCGAAATGTCTGGAAAGTTTCATCAATGCCAATATCATTTTACAATTAAACATTTTAAACGATGACGGTTTCACTCCTCTACATCTGGCCATACGTGATAATAATTACGAGATGGCAATTAAAATGCTTAGGCATGATAGAACCATAGCCGCCGTTGCTAATAATAAGGATGGCGGTAATGCTTTGCATATGGTTGTCCAACAGCAGCATTTACCGTTAGTGGAAATTATATTAGAAACGCAAAATAAAGTATCAATATTGAAAGCAAAGAATGCAGCCGGTTACACACCCTACGATTTGGCTAAGGAGTTGTCTATTGATAGTAAATCGGGGCAGAAGATTTTGAATGTACTTCAAAATCATAATACAGACGATAAGATGAGTGATCTAATATCTGGTAGCGTTATAGCTAACGCAATCAAAGAAACGGTCAACGAAAGGGAGGAAGAATACGATCGGAAACTTGTTATCAAAGAAGAAGAAGCAACATCATCATCAACCGATGATGACGACGATGAGAATGATGACGAGCCTATGCTACAAACAAATGAAATTAAAATCGAGGAATCTCTCGATAAATGCACTTTAAAGATAGCGCTTAATAATGTAAACACTTTTCAAAAATTATCTTTAATTATGAACAAAGAGGAAAAATAGAAGATACTAGCCCGGATATTAGATATTGAATATGATTTTTTTATTTCGCTAGGATTATAAGCACAGATGCAACCGTATCTGCCGTTTTTCTAACAAAGAAATATTTGTTAATTTTAAATCAACAATCAATTTTTGTACCCCACCTCGACATTAAATCCAACCGACATTGTATTGTATGTGTGGGGTCTTATCAATTGGTATATCTTTTGTGCATCTATCGATCGATTCCATTAATGATAAAATGTATTTCGTCTTTGGTTTTATTAACTTCGGTTGTCTGTTTATTGGAAATAAAATGAAATCACATCCACCAAAGACATTGAACAACTATCGAATCATGCCGAGAAAGAATATTGTCAAGATGCACCGCAGATGAATTTTAATGGGAAAAGGTATTGGGACCACCGATACGATATTACCGCCACATCTATTCCTAGTTATACTTAACAATGATACGTCGTTATCGGTGAGTAATGAGACAGGATATATAGGATATATAATATAAGAATAAATTAAAAAGTATAGTTGTTTTTCACGAAATATAACCTAAAAAGGAGTGGAAAGTGAAAATGAAGGCATTTATCTATCAACAATTGGAAAGCGAAAGACCGTTAACATCGCGTCTGATCATTCAAAATTGCAACAGTAAAGAAAAGGTGATTTATATATTTTACAGTCTCTGCCAAGCAGTTAAGAATAATATATATAATAATATATATGAATTATTGTTTTTCTTTCATTTGCATCCTTTTTCATTTGGTTTTATTTTTTCGAAAATTATGTAAAAATTTATTTTTCCCTCCACTAAATGTTCGTCGCAGAGTTGTTTTCAATACGTTGCAAATCCTCTTTCATGAAAAAAAAACCTATAGCATAAAAATTGAATCCTCAACATTACCAAAAATCAGTTCACAGTTATTTCAAAATGAGAAAAAGTCAACCCAAAAATCCAAAAATTTTCAACCATTTCTCTCTATATAGTCGTTCAGATATTTCTGTAATGGGTGTGCTGCGGGATAGCAACGGCAGTTTATTACTTAAAGTTACACATAATGCGGTAGTATGTCTTTCCTCTTTCTGCCTCTTACGCATATTCGCCCGGACTGGATACGAAAAATGAGGATTGAGGATTACCTTCCTAAATACACGATTGTGGCTTTGTCTTTTTGTGATAATTATTTTCATGTATATATATATATATTTTTATATATATTCATATAGGCATAAATGTAGTGCCACCAGCAAAACAAAGAATTTCTCGAAAATCATTTAATGTATATTTAGTGTATGTGGTATATTGAACATTTCAATTGGATTCAAATTTTAATAAAAGAAAAATTTCAATTTTCACTAAAATAGTCATATCTATAGTTGTTTTGTATTCACAATTAGATTATCGTAGAAATGTATATAAGCTTTTACATATATATTGCTGGGGATTTACATTTACCTTTTGCTTACCAATTACTTGTTGCCATTTACGTAAGACACAGACACAGAGGTGTCAGACTCAATTTCGCTGAATTTTGTTGACAAACTTGCTTTCCGTTATTCCAGCGGGCAGTGCATTAGTGTTAAGTGAGAGAAAGGGAAGGAAATTCTTTATTGTATATGTAAATGTATTGCTCATCTTTCCTGACTGACTGATTAATTGCAGCACCTGGGGTTTTCCTCATGAATTAATCAAAAGAAATTGAACATGGAAGAGGGCCGAGAATAAACAAGAGTATATTAAACAATTTTGTAATGAATACGTAGACGGAGGACGATAAATGATAACCTTTTTATAAGTAAATCCGACAGTGGACATAATGCCCGTGCGCTCGACTGCTTTTACTCTGATATCAATTTTTACCAATATTCAAATTAAGTTATTCCTTAAATTTGCTTAAAACCGATTTATCTTCTTCTTTACGCACAATTACTTTTCTAATGCATTACAAAAAAAAAAAAAAAACAATATTGAAAGTAAATTACTAATTTATAAAGTTCGTGATTGCGATTGGTGAAAGGACAGCATGTTTCGATTCCCTTCTCTTTTGATATGGAAGACCGTTCTCATTTAAAATAGGCGAGGGTAAGACTTCTGTTAAGCAGGTGTGCCTGGAATTAAATTGTTATTATATTTTCCAACTATCCAATTTAAGGAAATTACCAGCAGCGCAGGTTGCCTTACTGGAACATCCACACGTCCGCTTGCACGGAGTAAGTGTCCGTTTCTTCATCTTTCTGATCGGCTAGGCTTTCTTATTTTCAAGCGAATTCGCTACAAGCAATGTCAGGCAATGTATCTATATATATATAGGGCATTAATATAATAATAATTAAAATCCCATTCGTTCTCTATGTTTTCTAAATCGTTAAAGTTATTACACCATTGTTTAACTTAATTTAAAATTGTAATAATAAAAAAAAAAATTTTTAATAATTGTAATAATATTTTGATACATCAATATAACAAAAATTTGTCATGCAATCAAAAGAAGAAGAAGAGCAATATTCTTTGATATCATATCTGAACTGGCCATTTCTGGCCATTTTCTGCTAAATCGATCAATTTCTGTTAACAGATTTACCTGTTAAGGAAAGAAGAAGTAGAGTAAAGATGTAAAAAAAACCACAGTGTCAATTAAATTTATTATTATTTATACAAATAAAACCCTTAAGATGGTGTTTCACGGATTGACTGTTACCTTCATGTCTATCTGTAGTAATAGTAGTAGTGGTCAGGTTCATATATATGCATGCGTGTATATGGGTTTAGCCTGTTTAGCCTGTTGTTTAGGGGATGTCCCCTATGTATAAACAATAACAATGAATAAAATTTTTTTGCATGAATCATTCGCAATGTTATGCTATGCAAAAAATTTAATGCGCCGCCAATATGTCGTGAACGAACTGAAGGGTCGTTTAATGATGGAAGTGTGGTAGACGTGGTCCTGGTAGCGATGACTGAATAGATTTCACACTTGTTTAGATGGACTTTTCCATGGTACATGGTAGCACGCACTGTGATGATCAGAAGAAAGAGAGTTTGTTAGGGGAAGACCGGCTTAAACGATGAACGAGATTTTCGAAGGCAAGCAGCACGATTAAAAAGCGAGTAGGATATAAAGGAGAATAAAGTGAGACAAAGGAATCTAGATCCCTCCTCTGTATTTCTGGTCACAATACAACAACATTGCGTCACGTAGATAGTATTATAAGAGATTAGGATAAATTCTTATCCGTTATACTAGGTGGTCCATCTATTTTGCTTGTGTCGAGAAGTATCTGCAAATTTAGGTGCTGCAGAGTCTCTCGAAAAAGTAAATTATGAAAAAAGCAACAGTGCCCTAATTGTTAACATGGAGTGAACAAAAGTTACCTATTGCGAAATTTGGATTGTGACTTCAGGAATGGGAACACTGAAAAAATGACTAGTCCTACTAAAGAACTGGATTGATGATTAGCGTGGGAGAATTCGAAAGAAAATTGAAAAAAATATTTCGTAACTTTTTTAACCGATTCCTTAATTCCCCTTATGTAGAAAAGTTAAACCTTTAGCAAACTACGTAATGCCAAGCTCTGCATAAAATCTTGAAAATTTTAAAGATTTATTAATCCGAATTGTAATATGAAATAAATATAAAATCTGTTCTAGTTTCCTTCGAAATTAATAGTCAAGACCACATTTTTTTTTTGTAGTATGGCGGAAATTATCGATGGAAAAGCAGTTGCTGCCCAAATTGGTGAAGAAATACGCAGGGATATTGAAGCATTCGTTAAGAAAGGCAATCGCACGCCCCATCTCACGGCCATTCTGGTGGGCGAAGATCCGGCAAGTCAAATATATGTAAACAATAAAATGAAAACAGCTACCACGGTGGGCATAACAAGCTGCACCAAGAGTTTACCGGCCGATATCAGCGAGAAAGAATTGTTGGATGTAATTGATGAATTAAATAATGATCCAAATGTAGATGGCATTTTAGTGCAGCTGCCAGTTCCTGAGCATATCGATGAGCGTAAAGTATGTAACGCTGTCGCTCCCGAAAAGGATGTCGACGGTTTTAGTGTCTACAACGTAGGACGTATGTGTCTTGATATGGATTCATTGATTCCGGCCACGCCGCTTGGTGTCATCGAATTGATGAGGCGCAATAATATCGAAACATTTGGCAAGAATGCAGTTGTAATAGGGCGTTCCAAAAACGTGGGTATGCCTATTGCAATGCTAATGCACGCGGATGGACGCAATGAAACAAAAGCTTTAGACGTCACTGTAACTATTTGTCATCGTTTTACGCCGCCTAAAGAGCTGGCCAAGTATTGCTCTATGGCTGATATTATAATAACTGCTACGGGTGTACCCGGTCTTATAACTAAGGAAATGGTTAAACCTGGGGCCTGTGTCATAGATGTGGGAATAACTCGTATAACAGATCCGAATACGGGCAAAACTAAACTAGTGGGCGATGTAGACTTTGAAGGTAAGTGAACGCCTTATGCTTTACGCAACTAAAAATTACACTTTCTTTTTACATCCACAGAGGTACGCCAAGTAGCGGGTTGGATAACTCCCGTGCCGGGTGGCGTCGGCCCAATGACCGTTGCTATGTTGATGCATAATACTTTCAAAGCTGCCAAAACTTTAGCTAAATGTGAATAATCATCAATATTCTATATTTTCAGAGTTTAATGACTTCACTCCTTCATAGTATTTTTACATGCAATTAATCCTCCTCATATTACTTAATAGTTTAAAATATAATAATAATCAGTTTAAAGCTAAAGAAGAAAAAATTTTTATTAACGTCGTCATCATAAATTATTTTCATTTCCCGTTTAAATGCACTTTATATAGTTAATAATAATAATAAATAAATAAATAAATAAATAAATAAATATTTAATAATTAATTGTCTTCTTTATATTAAAGTAGTGCTAGTATAATTACAAAATCAAACTTGTTTAGGCAGCGCACAATCCTATTAATGTCTAACTTCAAAATCGGAAAATGAATATTTTTCTATCGATTTCATTTCACTAAAAACCGCCTTATCGATCCGCGAACTAGGGCTACCTTTAGTTTCTAACCAAACTTTCCTAATAAAGAGGATTATTTAAATTCATTGATTGCAAAATTTCATAAAATCACTTACATTTCGTTTATTTTCGTTTCTGGACCTTCCAATTGTCCTTGCACGGTTCCGTTAGGAGTATTCATGCACCATCCTCTTAACCCCAAGCCTTTTGCCCGCTGCACAGTATATTTCCTGAAAATATAAATAAATAATTGATTTGTTTAGAGGTCATTGTATGAAACGATTTTTAGTAGAGAGAAAGTGTTTATAATCAATTATTAAATCGGCATTTGAATACTAGCTAATAAGCAATGGGGGAATGTTGGATCAAAATGCAGTTAAGTTCTGATCAGTTAAAAAGCTGTTATTATTGGTTACGGAAATGTACTATAGACATAAAAAGTCAGAGAGGAGTTAAGTTCCGACAGATTCACTTGCGAGTTCTATTGGCAGTGTTCTTGACCGTCACGCTTCATCTTACGTCCAACTTTGCTGCGATAGCCATAAAACTAAATAAGAATGTCGCTATAGGTGCAAATATTACATCAACGACATTTATCTGCTGCACATCTAGTCTTCGTTATAAATGCGATTCAACCAATATCAACAAACAACTGGATCATCATCGCGGTAACCATTTCTATCATGTTCAACGATGTCATAACAAAATCTAATGAGTATTTAGCTGCTGGGCATCAGTTTTATTACAATAACAATTGTACAAACACAAAAATAAATAAATAACGTGATAGCCGCTTACAATTATCATAAGTTAATTCCTAATTATAATCGAAGTAATTAAATCATTTTTAGAAATAGCAGAGATGCAATAGTGGTTATGATAAATACCTGAAAAACACACCTTGAACTAATCCAAAAACTTCGAAATTTACGGCAAACAATCCTTTTGTGGCCATAATTATGTTCTTTAATTCAGCAAATCAACAATCGACAATTCGCTGAGATATGTCAAAACGGACCCGGCCATAGTATGTAATAATATTTTATATTTGAACAAAGTTGCCAACAGTTACAAAGTTACCAAAAATTAGTCCACAGTTATCGCAAAATTACCAAAAATCAACCCGTATGCGTCTGAAAACGACTTATATCCAAAAATTTTTTAATAAAAGTAAACAAAAGATAAGAAAAATTCTCTCTGTAACTTTTTTATTTTGTTTTTGTTTATATCTGACACATTTGCATGAAATTTTTTTTAGTAGAAGCACATATAGCATAATTTTCTGATTAAATAAAATTTCTTGTTTATTGTATACAAAAACCAAATAAAACGAAAATTTGAAAATTTAACAAACATCAATTTATCATTCGCTTAACATTCACATACACTTGATATAACACGTCATGTTATTTGATGAATTCTTCGGTATTAAGACTTTCTATCAGAAGGCATGCAAGTGTGCCGTTTGTAGATGGTATTTTGATCATAATTCATGCAAGTGTGCCCTTTGTAGATAGTATTTTGATCATAATTCATTCACGCAAGAAGGAATTTGATAAACGTAGATTCGTTCATGAATTTAAGACTACGTTTTAATTTTTACGTTGACCTCTCTCTAAGTAAACCTAGGTCGGTGCTAGGTTTCACAGAGACCCGCTTATCTCTTTATCTCCTATTAGCCTTACGTTGTTATAGAAACTTCTTTTTGGTGTTTCCTCCTTAATTAAGTTGACAAATGGTTCATAGTTTCACAGTTCACACACCTCGGGGATGTCCCTCAGTTCAGGCATCTGTTCTCCTTAGCTTCGCAGAATTTTGAAACTTGACCATATCTACCATACTTAAAGCATTGCTTTAAGGTGGGTATAAAGTAGTCAACCGGGAGGTGACAATAATTAAATTTGATTGACTTAGGGACGACTTAGGGAGGAAATTTGAAAATTTGTGAAAAGTTATATCCACATAAGGATTTTGGGTCGAGCGTTTAGCATCCATTGGCTGAAATCAATTTGTAAAGCATCAGTTCGCGCTGATTCAGATAAAAATTTGCTATAATAATAGAATAAGGGTCCAATGTTTTTCTTAATTAATGATTTGTTCTCAATCGAATTAGGTTTAGAACTTAGTTCAATATCTGTTACGGCTTCTGTCTCTTTATTTGTCTAATTGAAAACGGATGCGATGGACTTGATGATGCCTATCAGCTTTCTATCTTAATTTTTACTCTCGCGGTAATTTTAGTAATAAATAACAGATGGGCGATTAAACTGAATCGAAATTGACTTAGATCAGGTATTGATCAGTAGATGACCGATATTAATTCTGTATTATTATCGAGCTGAAAGACTTCAATGTTTGCCATTGATCAATATAAAAATTAAATTTAAAATTTAAAAATTCAAAGCCATTCTTCTATCTATGGTAAGCATTTTTCATAGATTATAACAATTTTTGGTGGAATTGATCATTTTCCATGTAAGGTTAAATTAAAGGAATCAGTTATGAATTTCTCTCTTTAACAAAACATGCCAATATACTGTTTGAGGGGTCCGATGAAAACATCCATGATTGTAATCAATTATTTAGTTCATCCACAATTTCCTATCAAATTTCTGGTTTATTTAAAAAACTTTTCGCTGACCACCATATAAGGCAAGTTGGAATTTAATTCATTGAAACGGAAAAAAAAAGACTATAATTGTTTTTTATTTCTGCATACGTGCCAAACCAGGTATGCACCCATACACAGGAATAACGTGATTAAGGCAAAAAAGGGGCTTTGAAAGTGATTCATGAAATCCCGTTGCAGTGATTTCAAATTCATTAGAGTCCCCTTGACTTG